TCCCATACACATGCACCCCTCCAGACACATTCCTAGCATCATTTATGCTCTCAAACTCACACTTACCGGGAACGTGTGGCTGCATATTCATCACATCATTCACAGTACACAGCTCTGTGTTTTAAGACGTTCAAACCTTCAATAAAAAACGAGAAAGGCATTCATTTAAACTTCTATTTGTACAATTCCATATATATACATATATATATATGTATATATACAGCATCTGGTCTGACTGACTATAATCAAGACGTGGTGTACACAAGGAACAGAATCTGCCAATTACAGGCCAATGGTAAATGGAGACAGAAAGTGAGGAGTCACAACGTTTAAAAAAAGATGACAGACCAGCAAAAGGACATGTAAGGAGATTCAAAGATGACTGAGGATACAGTTTCACACTAATTGAAATAACTACAAGGTCATCTACTGTAATCGTCCTCTTGGCACGATCTGTTCAACAACAAGCTTTATTCTGCGTGTGCTTTTCCACAGGGTATGCCACCAGGCTGTTATTAACAAATAAAGACATCTGGGTTTATGGGGAGTGAGTTGGGACAAAACTCTCACACAAAGGCGGGAGGGAGCGTTCTGTGTACGCAAAGAACACACACCCTGCCATTCATGCGTGCTTTGTCAGGGGCTGTTATGAAACCTCAGCTTCATCAATGGCTGTTGTATTCCCAACTGCAGGCTTGTGCAGCCGGGAAACAAGCGAGGAGTGGGAATAAACAGCCACATGAGGAAAGCGATCAGGTGCAGCAGTTACAGCCGTCCGAAGAAGTCGTTATCTGTCAGGAGACACGCAGTACGGTTTGCTCTGCGTCACAGAGTATCACTTCCTTATGACCTTTAGCCCGGGTTGGCGCCTTCGGTGATGAGAGAGGTCAGCCTTAGCACGCACTCCGGGCGCTCCTGATGGGGTCAAAGGAAACTGGGTCACCTGTACCTGTTCATCAGTGAATATGTATCTAACTGTTGGTGCCCACCAACCACCCAAGGCAAGGTCACGCCCTTCCTTCTGGATCCCCCCTCCCGCCTCGCGTCTTCGCCCTCCCTTCACCTCCAAGGTGTCACAGAGAGCACCCTTGTTCTAGCCCTCTCCTCCTTTCCACCGGGACCCCTCAAAAATCCCAGATATCCCTGCAATTTCCGGTGCAATGTTTATTTGGTGGAAAGAGGGCTGGGGGGCGAGCTGCCTTGAAAAAAGAGCCTCACTCACAAACAGTTTGGGCTGCGTTTGAGGGTAAACATGTGCAGGAATGGGTATGTGAGGCGAGCGGTAAGAAGGACTGAGGCTGGTGTGTTCTGGTCCTGACATACAGATCCCACCTCTGCAGGGACACAGAGCACAGCTCTGTTCAGGCCCCAACGGCCACAGTCTAATAAACACCCCACCACCACCACCACCCTCCACCCCCTCCTCTCCTGTCTGTTCAACGGATATCGCCCTCTCCTGGAAAAATTAGGGCATGACATGAAATAACAGGTAAGACCAAACAAACCAAGACCTTGAAATAAACATCTCTCACAGCATTGAAATTATTTTGGTGATTTCATGCACCATAATAATAATAGTCAATGCAGAGATGGACGCATTACCATGAACACCTCTTGAACAATATTTATTCTTTTTTTTATCTAACATAACCATATCTGATTCACTCAAATGCCCCTTCATCGACGCCACCAATTATTTTCCAAATGTGTTGATTTGAATTGATTTTAAACTGGTTGTTATTTGACACCGTCTAAAAGTGAATATTGTTCCAATGTATTTTCATACAATTAAAATGTTCAAATTGGGTTGGCCAGTTAGCAATCGTAAGCTATAGTACCACTTATCCATTACCTTTAAGCTAGGCAATGATTCTGCTGTTTAGCCACTATTTTTAGCTACATGTTTTAACCATTTACCCATTATAGCTAATTCAAATCTTTACCTGTTTCTTTTAGCAATCTATTTTAACTGTTTATCTCTTATTTTTAGCAATTTATTTCAACCATTTATCGATTACGCTGAGCCTTTTTTACCATTTTTCCATCATCTTTAAGCTAGCTAACGTTTTCAACTGTTTATCCATTACCCTACTTTTAGCTAATTCAATTTCATTTTTACCTAACTATTTAGACTGTTTATTAATCACTTATAGCTATCCATTAAACCCCTTCATCCAATGCTTTTAGCTAACATCTCTGCTCACTTGCTAATTACTTTTCACACTCATTTGCAACAGGTAGCGTTCAGCTGACTCAATATGTCAATAAATCAAATTGGAATTTCTATTTTTTTAAATTAGTTGAGCTAATTGACAATCTGTGTGCCTATAACACGTTAACATAATATGTTAGCAGTAAAAAAAAACTAAAAAAAAAAATACAACATGAAATAATGGAAACATATAACAGCTCCACCAGCTACTGAACAGAACTTCAACATCTACACAGGCGTTCATGTTATCGTGACCTTTTGTAAAACAGACATGGACAAGGGAATAATCAAGATGACAAGAAATTAATGTATTAGAATGACCTAAACAGTTTCTTATAAGCATGTCCATATTGTTTTTAAAATGTTTAAATGTCTGAAAGCCAGTGAGAAGACAACAAGGCATAAATTAGAAATGCAGAGCCGCAAGACATGAGGAAGTCAGTGGTCGCCCTTCTTTGGCTGGACAACTGCCCCTCACTTCCTCCTCGATGAGAGTGGCTTCAGTGGCCCTACAGGTAGGGAATGGATGGGGGCGTCGGGGTAGGTGCAGGGTGTGGGCGGGGGTGAGTTTTCAGGGAGCAGGAGGGGCACATGTAGGAGGGAGTCCGACTGACAGATGGGAGGTAGGAAATGGGGGCGTCTGTCTCTCCTGTGGCTTGCCGCTGTGTCTGGCTCTCTGTGGCTCATCACTCCCCTGCATCTAGATACAAATAGTCGTTGCTGGTTGTTTGTGTTGATGGTGTCTTTCGCATTGCTATCTGCAATGCCCAGACTTTGTAACCATTCACAGAGCCTGGCATCCTCTTCTTCCTCAGTGAATGATGGCACTATGTATTTCTGTTTCCCTGCACAGTCCACCTTATAGCTCCTCTTTCTCCTCTTTTGCTGCTGCTTTTCTTTGATCGCAGGTTCCTCTGATGTCTGAATTGGAGTCACCAATCTGCCCTGTCTGCCTGTGTTTCTGCCACTGGCTCTAGCAGATGGACAGAGGTGAGAAAACAGATGTCTGTCTTGCTGCCCACTTTGATCCTGAGGACTCGCTGACACTAGAGACCATGTATCTGCAAAAACCCCTGACCTAAACACAGCTCTTCTGTGTAGCTCTAAGTCCACTTCAGGCTCAAGTGCATTCAACACGGTGCTAGACTGAATATCCTCTGAAAGTGCATCGTTGCACCTGAGTGGGCACATAATTGTACGAGCATGGTTGCTTGTCAGTATGTCTGTAAAAGTGTGTATGTCTGAAGCTTCAATATTGTGTGAGTTTGCAGGCAACACAGCTCTAGACCTGCAGAATATAGAGCGAAGCCGTCTGTGTGGGGGCACGCTGGCAGAGAGCCCAGACAATCCTATGCTGCGAAACAGCGGAGGCGGTCGAAGAGTGGGGGAAGGTCTTGAAACTCCAACTTTCCTCTGAAGGCTTTTATCCATCCTAATACTTTGGGACGTGCTTCAAAAATGCCCCTCAGATGTCCTCCGGCGTAGGAATAAATGGCCCATTCCCATGTTCAAAAGTGCTCAAATAGCCTACTATAATAATACAAATCCACAACAGTCCAAAGTGAGAGTGATCAAAAAAGACATCTTCTTTACATCTTCACTTCTCTAACCTAAAAGTGTCCAAATGGAGGTTGTTTAGTTTGCACAGTGACAAAATGTGGCAAAAATAAAAGAGGGAGTCTGACTCTTCATCTTTTCAAGAAGATGCTTGTGGTTGTCATGACAAATGACTCAAAGAACCAAGTGCTTTTCCTCTGCAATTCCTCATCTGGTCCTGGAAATGGTTTACCACAACGACTTTATGCTTTAAATCTTCTCCCATCCACTATTTCCCTATACTAACACTTAGTCTGTGCTCCTCTCTGTCCAGTGGCTGCTTCAGTCTATTTGAGTCTGACTTCTTTCACTGAGCCTTGGATGACACCCACCTCTATTATAAACAACCCACCCACCGTCTCTCTCTTTCATCCTGTTGCCCTTGCGCATCAAAGGCTCGGTCCATCCACCGAGCTGTTCCATCTCTATAAATTATGAATTAATCGTGCAGAGCATGAGCGCAGGAGATGTCATGTTTTTACTGAGGAAAATTGGACCCACAGACAACATATTACTTGTTTATTGTTCACATACATAAAAAACAAACAAACAGGCAACGATGCTTCACCCAATGCTTGTTTGTTATCTTAAATTATATCGTCCTACCCGTACTTCAGGGCAGTTCCTAATTCTAAGGATTGTTTTACAGTTAGAGAAGCATGCTTATTTGCTGTCTTGTCAAGAATTATATGAGAAGATTGATAATGCCTCATGGTAATAAATATTAAGCTACAGTTAGCGTAGCTTAGCATAAACACTGCAAACAGGTGGAAACAGCTAGACTTTCAGTACATTTATCTGATATAAGTAGGACTTTAAATGCAGGGTTTTTATTTAAAATGGGGTATTTTTATATTACGGTATTAGTTCTTTATATATTTATACTTAGGTAAAAGGTATGAACACTTACACTAATACGTGCTTTCACAATACGTGATGGCTTAACTTGTTCTCAGGGTTAAATCTCACCAATCTCTTGCTCCTCGTAAACGGTCCATTGTGTACTTCCGGACCTGGCCGGGGGGTGGCGCTGCTCACAGCACCGCAGCCAGGACGAGGCGATAAAAAGCCGCTCGGTCCCTTTTGTAATCTGCGGCACCAAAGCGGAAGTACTTCAGTAGTCCGCGAGGTCAAGATCAACGCTAGCTAAACGGCAAGGTAAACACGGAAAGTACTTGGCATCAGTTTATTTAATCTGTGTTGTACGTGGCAAATGTGTTAGTGAAACAGTCCGGTGTGTGTGTTTGTGTGTATGTGATTCTAAATGTTTGGAAGCGGTGAAGGGTAAGGCTGGGATGAAGAGGAGGAGGAGGAGGACGACGACAACGAAGAAGAGGGCAAAGTCATACGTAACGGAGGTTAATGGAGTAAACGAACAGCCGGTAGATAGGCAGCAGACACGAGAGACGCAGTAAACCACTCCAAGCAAGTTGGGAGTGAATGGATTACTAGTAACGAAGGACATGTTGATTATGAAAGTGTTGAACGGCGTTAGCTCGGTTGTCTCTTCGTCTGTGAGGCGTGAGTGTTGTAACAGCAGAACATCATGGCTGTACATGTGTTCACAGAGAAGCTGACCGTTAATGAAGTTAGCATCACTGGGCAGTTTTACTAGCATAGCTAAGTAGTGAAATACTAGAAAATAATGATTGTTGGTTTGTTAGTAAAGTGTTTGATGGAGTAAACTACCTTCACAGGCCATAGAGATTTCCTAAATCAGCATTACACAACTTATACTTGAATGTAAGAAACTATTGTACAACAGCACATCTAATGGTGATTTTTTTTTTTTAAATCGCTTCTACTGCTAGCAAGCTCTGGGGGGTGAGCTGCTGCTGATCCCATTACTGACTGCTTAACGGTTTAAACTGCCAAGCAGTGACACTATATCTGCAGGGACTGAACCTAAAAGTCATTTTCATTACAGCTAGAGCGATTAGTCGACAAATTGTTTCTTCTGTCTTCTATCGACAGGCTATTTAATCGGCAGCAAGTTTGATAATGGAATAATAATTTACATTTTTGAATGGTGAAGTGAATGTTTTTGGGGTTTGGATGGCTGGTTCAGTCCAAACAGTTTCAATACTACAACTTGGGTTCTGTAAAATTTTGATGGGATTTTTCACCATTTTCTGCCATTTTATAGACCAAATGATAAATTGGTTATGTGAGAGAATAATCAACAGGTACATCTGCATTAATCTAATTCTGATTATTCTATCAATTCATTGTTTTTTTCTATGAATTGGTGAAAAATGGTCATTACTGTTCTTGAATAATTCTCTATAATACTATTATTAAATAATGTATTTTTTTTTTTTAAAAAACAGTAAATTTCTTGTATTTTCGCTCAATGAATTGTCGAATGACTGTTGAGTTAGTGACTAATTGGCACAGCTCTAATACTCTTTCCTGGCAAGGAAGTAGTGCTAATATTTTGTACGTGCAGGGATTAAAGTGGATTCAGACTTTAACGCCCTGCCTTTTTATGTCAGATCAGATAAGACCTATTGCAGTTGTTGATGGATTTGTTTGTGCTATGTAAACTTACATAATGTTGGTGACTATGAGAGTCTTGTGAAATCTTATTTGTGCTTCAGTTTAACAAGCATACAGGAAAACACACCCACCCATTGTGCACTCTGCATGGAGAAAGTGGCTGTAAACACGCTGGACTTGCATAAGTGTCCTCTTTAGTGGTACAGTAAAAGCATTGAGAAGTCCTTCTGCTTTTACCTCAACCTGTGTCAAACTGGCAAAAAAATTTAAATGAATTCTATTAAACAACATTTAATATTTTGTTATCTTCTGTCTTTTTTTACAGATGGCTCACAGGCTGCTAGTACGTAGAATTTGGACGCTGTCAGTGAAGGAGATCCGCTGCCACCCAGCATCCACAGCCACCACCGCTTCCTCCTCTTTTTCCACCTCCCTGCAGTCCGCCACAACCCGAGTCTCCTTCCTCTCTCCCTCACGCACTCTTCCTCGCTCCCTTCCTCACACCTCCTGCCGGGCAGTCTCCTTCAACGTTCAGGACCATGAGGACTTCACAGAGAGGGTCATCAACAGCGAACTACCCGTGCTAGTTGACTTCCATGCACAGTGAGTACTCCAGGGACATGTGGTTATAGGTGACTGAATGATGAAATCAAAATCAACAAGAAATTAACAAAATCCAACAGCTCTCTACATTTGAGAACAAAGAACTATATAGTGTTTGTCACTTTATTCAAAATGACTGAAGCTATTAATTACTTATAACAACCTGTTGAGTGAATAATTTTTTAACTAAGTGACTGCAGCACTATAAACCATCTAGATGGGATAAAATAATGTAGGAGTTGAAGATCAGGCTGACTAATTTGCAAATAATGTCAAAAATAAAAGTTTAAGTAGAGAATTTCTTTAGATGTAATGTAAAGGTGACACAGATTTTAATGTAAAGGTGACACAGATTTTGCCTGTTCAGAAGAGTAGTGTGTGCATATATATATATATATATATATATAGTTCTGGCTGTATTTAGGAAAACACTCCTAAAGAAAGAAATATTTGGACTTCAGTTTTTCTGAAAGAGCCTAGATGGGTGTGGAATGCAAAATAAGAAAAGAAGGATTAAAAAAAGTGAAGCTTTTTTGTCTTTATGATGAATTCATGATTCAGATTATACACAAATCTAATCATTTCTATTTTATGAATAAACATGAATCACATCAGAGACTAAATCGGTGCCGTTAATCCCACAAAGAGTTTGTCAAATCTGAAGTATATTAATCATGAAATGATATTCTTTCAATCCCTACTGCAGCCTGTTTGTTCTTTTTTACGGTCTCATTACATCACCTGACCAGTCATTACACAGATGCTGATTTGGGTGTTGCTTAAAGCTGCTCTGTGAGCCTCCCCTTGCTCCTCGCCTCCTCCAAGACACATTTAGGGCATGGGAACGTCCTTGATGATGGTGGACCTTGATTAATTTCTGGGTCATAGGCTGGAGGACAGAAGAGCAAGGAAGGGAGGAGGCATAATTAATTAAATGGAAAAAAAAAACCCTGGTGCTGTGCTGGATCACTCTCACAGCTTACTGAGAAACTTGAACATGGCAATCGTTAATGTTATGTTCAGTCAAAACATCTGCTGTCAAAAAGACCTGCTGCGTTATACTTTATAATTTATATTTTTCATTATTCCTTTGTCTTGACACCTGTTGTTCAGCACTTTGTAAACTTGCTGCTTTAAAGTCTTATACAAACACATATAATCATAATTAGTTGAAAAGCCTTCAGCAGCTTGTAGTCACACAGTCTGTTTGTGTCTTTGTTGTTTTTTAGGTGGTGTGGTCCTTGCAAGATCCTTGGGCCGAGGTTGGAGAAGGCTGTTGCGAAACAGAAAGGCCGTGTTGCCATGGCAAAAGTTGACATAGACGACCACACAGACTTGGCTATTGAATATGGGGTGAGACTTGAAGTATTTCTGTGGCATTACTGACATTTTTTAAGTTTACCATCTAAACTTTGAAGCTTGTAGTTTGTATAGAGTATCCATTGTTAGTGGTCGTGGAGGAAATTTTGATAAAATTTTGCTAAAAGATCACATGCAGTCAGAGAGGAGGATAATACATTGCATTGTACTCAACTGCATTACATAACAATCATTAAGACATAATATTATTAGTCTTGTCTTATAAAACATAAATTTGTCCGTTGCCAGGTGTCTGCCGTTCCGACAGTAATCGCCATGCGGGGAGGTGACGTCGTCGACCATTTTGTGGGGATCAAAGATGATGATGAGCTGGACTCGTTTGTCAGCAAAGTCATTGGACAATAGACCAACTGTTCCCGCCCTGCCATTCACCACCGTTCTGGTGCCGTTTTGTATGATTCTGGCATGGTCGGCAGCCCTTAGCCGCCATCTTGAGCCTGTTTAGCAGCAGCCGACAAATAAGTAAAATCTCTGCTGCAGTCCCAGCTGGCAATCTCTCAAATGCTCACACCCATCCCTAGACACACTGCTTCAGCTGTGCATTATGGCTTCTGTCTCTCTGTCTCCCTCTTGTTTCTTTTGTCTAGTGCTGGGTGTGTGCCTCCTTTAACCTTTTTAGTTCACGCTGTGCTCCATTTTGCAGCAGTTCCATTTCTTTCAAGTAATGTGACGGCTCCGCGGCTCTATTCATACCGCTAGAGCCGCCGAGCTGGTGTGTAACAGTTCGCTGTAAAAGTCTGTAGAATGGGGGAAAATACACCGCTGTAATGCACTTATACTGTATGACATGAGGGATGAACATTTATAGTTTTAATGGTGAAGAGGATTTAACTTAAAACCTGACAATACTGAATGAGGTTTGACAGTGTTACCTGTAGTTCCTGCGTATGTCCACTAGATGGTGGCATTTCTTTGACATCGCAGAGCCACACATGGTCATTTTACACCAGTATGCCTAATAATGTGAGAAAGGAAGATATGTTTGCGTGTTTGTCTGTGTCTGTATGTTTGTGTGTGTGTGGGTGTGTGTGTGTGTGTGTTTGTCTTGGGGTCCTGACTGTGAAACTGAAGTCGAGCAGGAATTGCAAATTATGAGTTTGATTTAGTTTATTACTGAAATGAACTCAATGTACCACAAACATGATCAACTGATGTAATAAAGGAGAGAAAAGATGTTCTGTATTTGATTTGTGTTTTTGTGTGTGGTTGAAAAAGAGACGAGGGTGGAAGATTTACTGTCCCTAATGACGCTGAGGCAATATTTCTGTGAAGTTCATGGACTTTCCCGGCCCTGGATGTTTTGACAGCAGTGGAAGTCACCAGAAATAAGATGCTGGTTTGTTGTTTTTTTTTTGTTTTGTTTTGTTTTTTTTCTCTGTGTGTCTGCATCTCTAGGAATCAAAGGAGAAGAAGTTGGTGCTCAATTATTCCCTGTTTTATTATGTCTGTGTTTAGCATGCAGTGTTATATATTCCCCCATTTCTGTCTGACCGTGGAGCTGTTACTCATGCTGTCACAACCCTCTCATCAGTGTAACTGAAACGCCTCCACACCACCCTCCACTTATTGCCTCTCTGTAAATGACCTCCCTGCTATCATCCCCTTAAATCGACAGTGTCTGCCTTCTTGTCTGTCTCTCCAATCCCCACAATGTCTTCGAGTCTCACACCTGACCCTAACGTCCTCCTCCAAACCACTTTTCCCTCCTCGATCAGAGTTGGGGTCAACACATGTCGAGCCAGACAGTTGACTGCCCCATTTGACCTTTCATTTTCATTTTCACCTGCTTGGTAACATGTTGGATCACTCGCCTGTGTCTTCAAACATCACACCAATGTAGACGCCTCTGTACTTTGGATTTCTGACTTTTGGCGCTGCCTGCTTGTTGGGATGTTGCCATGGTTCCCAATTATTAAACCAAAAGTAATAAAGTGCTGTGTTATCACTGGACATTGTAAATGTTTAACAGTGGAATAGCACGGCAAGGTGAGTTTGCATAGCACAACAAGTAAATTAAGTGTTGTTCATAAGACTAAAGAAGTAAAAAAAAAAAAAAAAAAAAAAAATGCTTTTCCAGTGTTTTACCTGTCCCACTGGGGGGTGCACCTACATGCACTTCCCATGCAAGGTCTCTTTCCTGTGTTTGTGTGGACTGTAGGATTAAGGCGTTTCTGTGTCATCGACCGCCAGAGACACTCGAGTAAATGAGGTCAAATGGGGCTGAAGGAGACAGAAGAGCACCTGCAGTCAGAGAGTCATCATTTCATCATACCCTCTTCTCTCACGACCCTCTAACCATAAAAACATTACCATCCCAGCCTGCCTTGCCATCCTGGCATGCCGTAACAGAGACCACAGCTGACAGAATCATGACAAGGGCCTTCAGACTGCTTATTAAGTGCACATCATTTGACATGTTCCATCTGCATTTTCAGCGGTCCCGGCTTGGATTAGATCATCGCAGAGGAAGCCAGGGGATATGATCGTGCAGAGTTGCTCGGTAGCAACCGGGTGCAGAGACCCTGTGGTTTTTTTTTTTTTTTGGAATAGAGGGAATTCCACTGGCATTACATAAGCAGGTGTGAATGAGGCAAGTGATCCAGATGTACAAACAAAGTTGTTGTTGTGTGCTGGATGAAAGACATTCCTGCATAGTTCAGCGATGTCTGGGGCTGCATCATAGCACCTTTGTTAATGATCTGCCATTTTAACCTCTTTCAACCTCTTCTCTGCCTCTCAGTAATCACCGAATGGTCTTGAGGCCTCAGGATTCACACTCATGAATCAATCTGCCCCCCCCCCCCCTTTCTCACACCCCCACACCCCCCTCCATGTTGTCTGCTCATCCTCTTTGTCTGCCCTCAGACAGGAGGTGACTGAAGAAATGACGACAAGCTCCAAAGGTTCAAGAGCAGCGCGTAACCCTACACCTCTTCCGCCAAAAACAATAGACCACACCTCCACCCTCGCTCCCGCTGTCTCTCTCTCTTACTCAACCACTCTTGTGACCATATAAGGCAAAAAAAGACAGGGGAAGCCAGCGGCTGCTGCTGAACAAACGGGCTGAGAGGCAGAGTTGCAGAATTCTTCGAGTGACTCTATCCCTACTCTATTTGCTCGCCTCTCTCAGAGCCTGAAACTGTTGTTTGCTGTGTGTTTGTTTGAAATTAAAGCGGCTGTCACTGGGCCAAATGCTTTTGCTGTGTGTGTGTATGTGTGTGTGTTTGTATGTACAAGATGCATTGCAATTTCTGTGTGTGTGTGTGGGAGAGAAAGAGAGAGAGAGAGAGAGCGACTTTGTAACAACACCCAGATCTGGCACGGCCTGAGAGCATTCTGTGTTTATAGTAAATACATAGCTGTATTTGTATTTGAAACACATGCTGCCCTCCACCTTGTTAGGTCTCCACTCTGTTCCAGACAAATACCAACCCGAGACAGACAAAGCAGCCACTGCCAGTTTATATCCCTCCATCTTTTCCTCATGCAACATACAAATGGCTTACAACAATATATCGACCTAGAGTGCATTAGAGATGCATCAGCAATCAGCACAGATGATGAATGAGCAAAGAGACGTCTTAACAAAAGAGGGGAGGCGTTCTGTATTTTCCCTTTATTCCACATTCCTTGGTTTTGTGAGTCAACATGTGTCTTATCACTCCTTCCTGTGTACTGATTACTACGGAAAGGAGGAGGATGGTGGCACTGGAAGCAGGGCGAGACTAAAGAGCAGAAGACAGCCAGTTACTCTGCCATACTCTCATTACTGCATTATCTTAAAAGCTGGAGCTGCTCTTAATTATTCCTTGTGGTTCTTGCCTTTAAGGTACACACAAACAAACACTTGGCTTTATGATGCCGAGAGATTGTGTGAACTGAAGCGAGTGGCGTGAATAATTTTGGCAGGGTGTTGTACGCGGCTGGGGAATGATGTCGAACAAAACGGCAAGTTGTTGGAAAGATCACTTTGAAGCATGTGTGTGTGTCGAATCGTCTCTCGGTGTACGTCAGGTAAGAAGAGGTTACAGCTACAAGATCTGGGTCAGACAGGAGCATTAAACAACCTATTTACCAGATTTGACACAGGTCTGAGCCACTGTATGTCCATATTTCCCTGTTCATGGATGAGGGCACAGAAACGCGCACATTCTCACCAAGACACCCAAGCGTGAATGCCCACACACATGAATTCACACAAGTAATTACACAGCGAGCATGGTCAGTGAGTTAACATGCCACTCTTTTAACATACTGTCACTGAATGGGTCTCTTTCTTTCTGACTGGATGATATAATGGCTTTGCACACCCTGAATTACAGACACACCCTGCTGCTATTACAACCAACTGAAGGAAGGAGAAAGAGAGCGAGAGAGAGAGAGAGAGAGAGAGAGAGAGAGAGAGAGAGAGAGAGAGAGTAGGTCACAGGGAAAAGGAGAGCGCGAGGTAGCGAGAGGGAGGGAGATAGTGAGGTCAGAAGTGTCCATATTTGGTCATTTATGCCTGCATTTTAATCCTACATTTCTTTCTTTGCCCAGTTCTCTTTGTTTTGTGTCTTGTGCCATTTACTGTGTAACTACTTTTTACTTTATAGGCACACGGTTATTTCAACGTGAACTTCTTTTCGATTTTGAAATTTGTTTTGAATTCAAAGTTGTTTATTTTATTATTTTTGTATGTAAGCAGTCTCTCACTCTCTTTTACTCCCCCTCATTCCCCTCCACTTGGCCCTCTCTCCTCTCTCGGCATCTGGTCCTGCTCAGCTAATAGGCGACAGGGTGACCTTTGACCCCGTAGCTGAAATTTTGGATATTTCCCATCCATCCCGGACAGAGATTTATTGATTTTTCCAGGCAGCCTTGCTGAATGTTCAATGTTTTGCTCTACATACATGTGATGCCCAGCTGCTAAACGTATAGGAAAACACACAGACACATTCTTTTCATAATGACACATAGCGAACATAAATCACACGTTCTGCAGAAAATGTGATTTTCCTATGTTTGTGAATGGATGGCAGCCATGCCTGAGGCCCCGTTATAATGTCAATTCTTGGGTTAAATATAGGAATAAAAAGTTGTCTTTGTGTGGTGTGCTGAATGTGCAGCTGATGTCACTGATAGAAGCAATATCTGCAACAGGTCTTATCCCAGGACCACAGGGCAGCATCATCTGTTTCATATTCCTGCCTCTTATCAGGCATCACCTCCTGAGTGAAGAATGGAGGATAAAACAGAAAGAGGTCAAGATTTTGCTTGTCTGAGAAGAATTATCTTTGCACTTCCTTCCTCTAAACCATTTTTTTCTTCAGATTTTTCAGACCTATCAGAAGATCACACCATCAACATCATCCATCATGTTTCTAATGTGTTAGTTTGACCTGATTAAAAACTAAGTTATTCAATACTATTTGATGTGCTAATATATAAAATGCT